CACATTTTTAGCTCATGTTGTGATGATCACTAATATGAATTTTCTTTTCTTTTTTTTTTTTTTTTTTTTTTTGGTTTTCAGTAAAGTTTAATAATAAATTGTGAACATCTTAACTTAAATTCAGAGTATACATGAAATAGAAAAATATTTAAGCTGAAGCCCCTTCAAAAATTATACACCATCTTAAAAGTATGATCACCAGTTTTCTCTTGAGTGTTAATTTGTGATCTCAAAAGAAATGGTAGACTTAAAACCTAATGTAATACCTAAGACATGCATATAACTAATATATGAAGAGGGTAACTTTGTAATTTTAAAAAAATTAGGTTAATAACCTCGTTAGGTTTTACAGTTATTCTCAAAAAATCTAAAGAAGGGGATCTCTTGAGGATTCCAACAAAAAAAGGTTGAAGAATCAATTCTTGGTACTAGGTCAATCTATTTATTCTTTAAGGTAAGAACTCTAGTACAACCTCTCCTCCTTTCTATTATTTATTGTATTTCAATTTGGGGTTAAATTTCTTTAGGGTTTGGCTAGAACCCACAGATTATGTATGATGTTTGGGTAGTTTTTGGCGATTAACCCGTGAGAAGTTCCTGAGGTAGCAGAGCATGGCAACATTTGTACCTTGCTTGGGTCGGTACAAGAAGCAAGGAGCCAAGGTGTGTTGTGTGGGATTCATATCACTTGCATCTATATATATATGGCTGGTTGGATATCATAGAAACCATAGTTGAAAAAAAAAAAGAAAAAATGAAAAAGGAACTTATGAATGAAATTGCTTAATCAAACTGGTGAGTGTATGAGCATTAATATTAATCGACAAAGGTGATTGGATTATTATAAGTGGGTATGGGTTAAGGGCGTTTGCAAGACCTGAAGTAGATAGAATAGTTGACTGTTGTGGACAATGAACAATCCTAGACTTTGCATGAACACACATTAGGCAATGTTTTCTTTGATAATTATCAGTGTAAATTTAGAAAAATAATTAAAGATTAGTAGTCAAAGTGTATGAATATGAATAATTAAAATTATAGATTTTTAATGTATTTATAATTTATTCATAATTACACTGGAGTGTAATCCTTCCATAATTATTTATGTGGTGTTATATTTATTAGGACTATGAGATTGAAGTGGATCGTGGTATTTTGAAGTTAGTTTTGGGATTCTTTTAGCACTTGAGGTAAGTGGATCGTGGTATTGTTTTAGTCTCAATGTTCTACCTGCAAAATGCTTCTTTGAGTGAGATCGAGGCCAATTACTTGACTTGTTTTTTTGTTGATAATAAAAAATATTTTTTATTGATTTTCATTTTCCATTATTCCAAACATGAGAAAATACAAACCATGCAAAAAGTTCCAATCCTAGATCTTCAGTATGGGAAACAATATCTTTACTACTTAATAATAGCACACAATATATTCATTTTTAAATCAAAATTAAAATTTATATTTTACAAATTTAATAACACACTCATCAAGTAGACACACGCTCACTAACATATATATACATTCTAATCTTTGATATTGTATCTGCAACTTCTCAGTATTGTGTAATGCATCAGCTTGACCAAAATTCGCCATGGCTCCAAAAAGCTATGCCACTTGGATCAAATTGAAATGCACCGCAACTACATGACACAAATCAAAGATTGTTATAGTTACTGAATTCCCTGAGCATATTGGATTTGACATGGATGTCACCCATATATATTTTGAAAACCATGTATATGCTGATTAGATAGCTTCAATTAATGTATGATAACAATAAAAAAAAAAAGAAAACAACGAAAACACTTTCGGTGTTGCTCAATTTTAATGGGGAAGGTTTCTCTCCCATCCACAATTTTACTAGAGGGGTGTTCTTGGGTTTATAGAGCCACTACACATCCTATTTTGATAATTTAAAAAAAGAAAAGAAAAAAGATTCATTATATTCATAACTATATGATTTCATTATAATTGTTTAAAAAAACGAATGACAAGTATAATTTTGAAGTTGTCCATTCATTTTTTTAAAGACCAATATGAACAAAAATATATGGATATAAATATGGCATAAATCTAAATTTTATCCTAAATGACCTACACAATTTATTTATTTATTTATTTATTATTTTATTTTTTTTTTACAAATTGTACGATTCAAATCATCAAAATAAGATCTATAATGTATCTTACGAACTGTGGATCACACTTGTAATTCAATAACAAATTAAACTAGACAAAACATTTTCCCATATTAATAATAGAAAGCAAAACATAAAAGAGGGCTTGTTTTCTTCAAATATTAAGAGAGACCTATGTAATTTACTCTAAATTGAACAACCAAAAACATATTTGTTTTATTCATTATTTGAGATGAGAGGTAGAGAGGAATATAAGTGTTTAGTTGTAAAGGGTACGCTGTCTAGTAAGGTGAATAAGAAAAAAATAGGGGTTAGTTGTACCATTTAAATTTTCTAAATTCTTAAATTATTTTTTTTACCCATTAGATTAAATTTTCACTATTGATGATTTGCGGATATCGTATACAATTAAACCATATGAACTGAAATAAGAAACAATAAATGGATGCAACTAATAAATTAGGAATGAAGTAAAAAAAACGTGACTATAGTTTACTGTAAAATAAAATATGAAAATGTATTGAATTTTAATATATATATATATATATTTGTATTTTTTTTTTTTGGTGAATTTTTTATTTTATAAATATTATACTTTTTAGTGTATCTAAATTAGATATGTTTAATAAATAAAAAATTTGCGTAAAATATTTTAAAAAAATGCACTAAAAAGGAAAAAAAAAAATCAATTTTTTGAAAAGTGAATTAAACCAAACAAGGTAAACATATTATTTTTTTATTCATATAACTAATGAATTATTAATAAAAATAAGCTAAGTGTTAACCCACTATAATTAGGAGAGCAGTCATTTTCTTATTCATTATTTGAAGCAGAGAGAAAACTGGGTTTTTGGTTGTCTAAATTGTAAAATTATTTTTTTAACCATTAGATTAGATTTTTAGCATTAATGATTTGGACAAATTGTCTCCCATATGAACTGAAATCATGAACAATAAAGACTAAATAGATGCAATTAATAATATAAAAATGAAGTAGAAAAAGTGACTATAGTTTAGGGGGTATAAAAGTAAATTTAAAAAGAAAATGAAAAACTATTAAAAAAGTGTCCAAGTCTTGTACCTTTTGTCAATTGCAGCTATTACAGTCAATAACAAACCTTTATTTTCACTATTCATTTATTACGTCCATGATTTTATTTTTTAATTTTTCACATGATGATTTCCAATCAAGTGCTTTGTATAAACATCAAAGGAAATAAACTAGCTTTATTATGTATGATACAAATAAACTGCTAAGAAACTAAAAGTAGACTAGATAACAACCATAACCAAGCCATAATTTTTCATGATCAAGCAAAAGGATGCAGAAATTCATTGTAATACTTACCAAAGGACACCATTTGCATTGGCTAATTTCACCTTCCTCAGTTCTTGTGAGCATGCTTTTTAAATCTGTTTCTGCTTTCGTTTCGTTCACCTTCAATGATCCTCACAAGCCATTGAGGTTTTCCTCAAGAGAACATAAGATATCCCATAACAAGTCCCCACACAAGCCCACATATATAACTCGGTAATATGACTTCTCAATTGAATCCACTTGGGGCGTGTTTGATTGGGAGGATTGGGGGGGACTATCCACTATTTGGATTGCAATCCAAATAGTGTTCCTTATCCGCCGTTTGATTTTTTTTTAGTCCGCCGGACATGGAGTCCAGCCAGACTCCTTATCCCCCATATGGGGGATTATACTATCCGGGGTGGGTGGTGTGAGACAATTTTGGAGGGACTATTTACTATTGGGATTATGTGGTGAAATGACCATTTTGACCATTTACTATTTAATTATATATTATATTTAGTAAAATTCAATAAAATTGTCTCAATTTAAAAATAAAAAAAAAATTATTTAACTTTTTATTTATTTTTTTAAATAATTTTTTATAGATATTTTATTGATGTTTTATTTTAAAATTTTGTTTATATTTTATTTAATTTCATTATTTAAATTTTAATAGATGTTTTATTTAATTTCATTATTTTATTAAATTTTAATTAAAAAATAACATATATTTTTATTGATATTTTATTTATTTAATTTTTAAAAAATAAATTTATTTAATTATTTGTTTAAATAAAAATAATCTATACCAGTCAAATTTTTTTATCAATATTAGTATGTTTAAATATCTTTAAACAAAATTTAACCATTAGTATGTTTAATGTTTACTAAAAATAATTAAAATATTAAAGATATGTTTAATATTGCTGTTACTTAGTAAACAATTGAAAAAGGGTAAAATAGTCTTTTGTTCATTTATCCTATCCAGTCCGTCCAACCAAACGTTGGATTCACTGAAAATAGTCCTATCCAGACATCTAATCCCATGAAAAAACAAACACAGGATACATATCCAATCCGACCAAATAGTCCGGGGGATTCACAGTCCCAGGACTCAAGTCCGATGGATTCGAATCCCCCCTTTTTCAGTCCGTCCAATCAAACACACCCTTGAAGTATTGTTTTCTTGTTGAAACATCAAGGGTGGTGGTTGTTGTGTCCTTGGATTGCATGTATTAAGCAATGGAGGTCCACATAATGCCAAGTTGCCAATGTAGGAATCATTTAAAAATGTATCAAATTGGTTGCCTTGTGGTATCGGTCCTATTAGTTGATTCTGCGAAAGGTTCAAGACTTCAAGGGATATCAAATTCCTTAGTTGTTGAGGAATCTCCCCAGTGAGTTTGTTAGAAGAGAGATCTAACCATTCAAGCGTTGTCAATTAGCAAGAGATGCTGGTATATAACCTATAAGGTTGTTGTGGGATAAGTTGAGCCCTCGGATTGAATTTAGCCTTCCAATGATCTCTGGAATCTCACCTTCAAAATTGTTTTTCGATAAATCAATTACAGTGAAAATGGTTAGGACTTTTACCATTTCTATGGTTGATCCTTTGATTACTATAGTCAAACAATAGCAATTACTATCAGCCATGCTTAAATATTGCAATTTATAACTGGCTTCGTTGACATTCATCATAGCATTGAAATTCTTGAAATATTTTTTCGGCAATGGACCAGTAAAATAATTGTCTGACAAATCCATAACTCGCAAGTTAGGGAAGGGAAATTTGGCTTTGGAAGTTGGCATGTGTCCATGGAATTTGTTAGATCTCAATATTAGAACTTGCAACCACTGTAGTTTTTCCAACCAATATGGAAATTTAGCAGAGAACTTGTTACATCCAAGATCTAGCACTTTTAGCATTTTGCAATTGACTAAAGATTTTGGTACTTCTCCTCAAATCCATTTCCATTAAGGTTGATAGTTTCAAAGTAATTTCCCTTTACAAATGTATTAGGAATGGTGCCAGAAAAATTATTCTTCCGCAACAGAGAAATGTGCGCTGAAGTTTCCTAAACATTGTGGAATAGAACCATTAAAGCTATTACTAGACAGGAGAAGAAATTGAAGGGAAACTGCATGACAGAGCATGTCTAGCTCACCACTGAAGTTATTTGATGAAAGAATGAGACTAGTAAGGTTTACGAGTTTGAAGGTTGAACTTGGAAACCTACCATGTAGGTTGTTATTGCTCAAATCAACTACAGTTAAATGAATGGATTTGAACTCTTTTATATGGCCAGTCAATTTGTTATTACTGAGGTTAAAGTATTTCAATGCTGGCAAGCTGAAGACCCAATATGGAATTGCACCGTTGATTAAGTTGTCACCTAAACTTAACCATGTTAGATTTGGAAGTCCAATTATTTGTAATGGAACAGGTCCCGCTAGCTGATTATCTGACAAATCTAACTCAACAAGTGATGTTAGGTTTGCAAGCAATGATGGGAATGGACCGCCAAAGTTATTTGAAAAAATATATAAATAAAGAAGACTTTTTACATTAGGTAAAAAATCTACGATTTTACCTTCAAAATTATTACCCCGAACGTCCAACCCGACGAGATTTCTAAGGTTTGAAAGTGAAGATGGGAGCATGCCAGTGAAATTGTTATATCGGATGCCTAAACGAATAATTTCCGTAAGGTTTCCGAGCGACGTAGGGATGGATCCATAATGGATCCATAAAATTTACAAAGAGAGGCATACAACATTTTCAAGGACTTCAAATTCCCAATTGAGTCGGGTAGTTCTCCGGAGAAATTAGTGTATGAAAGCACCAAGTACTGGAGAGGACTGCTCGAGTTTATAAACTCGGGAAAATAACCAGTGAGAGCAAGATTATAGAATAAACTCAGCTCATTCAGATGTGGTAAATGGAATATTCCGTCAGGTAATTTTCCAAGCAATCCACACCCACTAAGATCGAGAAGTGTTAAAGAAGTCAGATTGAGCAAGGAATTGGAAACCACTGAAGATATGTTTACATTCGCAAGATTAAGTTCTCTTACCTTGGTTAAGTTTTGAACAAGTAATTCAAATCCAGGTTCTTCCAACCTCAAACCATAATTGGAAGAGAGATCAAGCGAGACCAATTTGCTCAGAAAGGAGACTTCTATAGGGACTTTCCCAGAAAAACTAGAGTGAGAGAGGTTGAGGTGTGTCAATCTGGTGAATCGACTAAATTCAGATGAGAATGGAGACATACCAAAGTCATTGAAAGCAAGGTTGAGGCTTTGGAGGTGAGGAAAGTAGTAGAAGATGGTGGTATTGGGGTGGATGGTGCCGTTGAGCCAGCTGCAACTGAGGTCGAGGCCAATTACTTGACTTGTGTTGTTGTCACACTCGACCCCATCCCATGAGCAACAATCAGAAACCCTCCTTCCACGACTCCATCTTCGGGTAAGAATGGATTCCGTAATAATCAGAATCACAGAAAAATTCGTCGGAAGCAGATTTATTGAAGGAAAATTGTTGCTTAAATTGGAGCAATGCAGAGGTCTGTTGTTGAGTGCAGAGTTGGGCATGCAAACAAGTAATCTGGAAAAAACAAAGAAACAAAAAGAGGTGAAAGAGTTGATTGTTAGAGACCAGCTTTGCTCCTAGATTCAAAAACAAAGGTTGTATTGTAATGCTTGCTGACTATTAACAGGGGAGAGGCCAAATGCTTTTATAGGCAAATGTAGGTGCAATGCAAAGCCTGCAAACAAGTAAAGTGAGTTTGACTAGTCAGTCTTCATTGATGTTTACACAGCTGGACTCCATAACTTTTCACTCGTCAAGGAAGACTTGGCTTTATAAATGTTGAGCATAGGTGGTGTTTATTTTAGTACAGCTTTTGTTACGATATAAAGGTGGTACATGCTAGATTTTTCTTAAAAACAATGTGAATTCAAGTAACATTCTTAAATAAAGACTGCCGTCTGTCACTTATTTTTTTTTCATATTTTTATATCACCGGCCTACCTGCCTGACAATGTATATCATTTGTTTATATTAATTTCTAATTAATAATTATCTTCAACTAAAGTAATTATTCGTAAGTATTTGACAATACAAAGCCTACTTTATTATAAAAGTGTGACAAATTTTCATGTTTTTTACTTTTTACGTATTCTGAAATTACCCTCGTAAATTTATTAAACATCAATAAAATCACAGACAACCACAGACATATTTTAAAATTTAAACACTTTCAAACATCAAACACCTTAAAATAATCAAGCACCTTGAAACATCACAATCTACTATCAATCAAATACCATGGATGTTTCGGATCGGTAGCCTCATGGAATTTACATGATCCTTAACAGCAGCAGATAAACTATTCTAATTTTTTTAGATGTTGATCTACTCTCCACCATGCTCTTGTCTTCTTCAGAGCTCTATTTGTTCTTCAGTATGTATTGTTTTATCTTCTTTCTCATCTCTACCTCAAACCCTACTCTTTCTATTTTTCTTTTCTTTTTTTTATTTATATTATTTATACATCTTTTGGTTTTGATCATACAAAGATATATATATATATATATATATATATAATGTACTTGTAAAGCAATTGATTTTATCTGATTTATCAAAAAAATGCAAGTAAATTTTATATTATTACTAGCAGTGGGTGCAAACACGATGAGTTTGCAATTGTAGGTCTAAACTTTTCGATGGTTTGATTAATGAGGAAGATGTTTTAATAATTTCACTACCATGACCTGTTCAATATTTGTCTCATCCACTACCTTCTCATTTTTTTTTTTTGATCAACCAAAAAAGAATTTTATTGATGAATATTCAAGCAACCAGAGAAGATATATCAATAAAGAGGGAAAATGCAAAAAGCGTCACAGCAGACCCACGCCATCCCAACAAGGTTGGCACCGTGAGGGCTACCCGATCATATGCTAGCACCCCTTAAATGTTGGTAAGAAACCAACAAAGACAGAAAACGAAGAAACAGATTGAACACACATTCAGATCAAAACTCTACTGTGACCACCCCAACTTCAGATCAAAACTCTACTCCCCAAACACATCTTGATCTGCCTCAGATTGAAAATAAAGTTCTGGACTGAAAAGTTGAATAGCTTTAATAATGGTTTCATCCACAAAGCAGTCCTAATCTTGATCAACTCACATAGCTCTGTCATATTCAAATCAAGAAAAATCATGAAAATATATCATGAAAATAAATATTTTTGCAATGATATACTCATCAGTAAGAATTTCAGTTTTTAATGTTAAAAACACTTAAAGTTCTCATTATTACTACTCTTTGTTTAATTTTTTAATTTAACTTTAAAAAAAAAAATCTAACTACTCTCCTATGCAACAATAAAATTATCAAAATTATTCATCAAAAAATATTTCTCATATCGTTAAAAATCATTAATTCACTTAATAATTTATTTACAAAAAAATTTAATTATTAATATTGTATAAAAAATTTAATTATTAATATTGCTTACAAATAAGAAAATAAATTTTAAATTAAAATATTAAGATGTATAAAATTTATAAACATCCTTCATTTAAATATTAAGATGTATAAAGTGATAGTTTGAAAGAAGTTTTGTATTACAATTTTGGAACCAGGCGAAATAGAATTTTGGGATTTCTATAAAAATAATAGTTTAAAAGAATTTTCAAATATTCCAATTTTGGAACCACACAAAAGCAAATTTTTGGGGCTAGCGAATGATCACATCACTATGATGTAATGGAAGTTGCGTATAAATCAATCCAAAAAATTGAAAGGTTTACATTATTTATTTTTTTTTTAATAGAGAGGACATAATTTATAAATAAAGAAAAAAAAATATACAACGGTAGTAAAATTTATAAGATTAAATTAAATTTTGATTAGATTTATAAGATGCAATTTGTTAGATTAAATTATTATGTTAAGTGTAACAACCCTCCCTTCAACTTAGTCATACTTGCATACACTTATGTATGATCTTGTTTTGTTATGTGCATTTGCAAATCCTGTCTTGTTTTGCTTGAGTGTTGCTTGCATGCTGTGTTCTTACCTGGTGTGTTGCCGAGGTCATCTTAAGCCTAGACACCTTGGAAACTTTCCACACTTAGAACTATCTTGGAACCACTTCGGTTGACCTCCACCTTTACCCTGGCATATTGGCCGAGATGTCATCATCTAGGCCGAGGTGTGCATCACCTAGGCCGAGATGTGCGTCATCTAGGCCGAAATGCTGTTATCTAGGCGTTCTAGATCCCTGATCCTTGCACTTAGTGATTTTGTTCCTGGAATGGTATGACCTAGACCGAGGTGTGGCACATCTAGGCCAAGGTGTGGCACAGCTTAGTCAAGTGTTGTCCTTCCAAGCCGATGTCGTTGTCACCCTACTTGCCGAGGCTTTGCCCTTAGCCGAGGTCATCACTTGCCGGAGTGCTCTTGCCGTCTAGCTTGTTGAATACACTTTGTCATAGTCTTGTCTTGTCAGCCAGTCACCTTTTTGAGTAGAGCCAATCAGCCGATGTCACGTGTCCTAGCAGGGGGTTAAGTCAGTGACTGTCGAGAGAAACATGTCATTTTGTATCAAATCTTGCCTTTTAGAGAGAGACTCTAGGAAGAAGAAGGTGAAGCCTTTGAGTAAGAGAGTGAACTTCCAAGCTTGATCGTTGGAGTTTGAACCGTTAAATTCGGGTTTTGAGGTTAGAATTTTAATCTACTCTTGTTATTCTTATTGGTCATCTAGCTGCATTGCATGATCGAACTTGTTCTGCACGCCTTGCCTTGATTTAAAGTCGGTTTTAGTAAGAGAAAATAGTGTTCTTGTGTTCTTGAAGAAAAGTCTTGTTTTGATCCCAAAGTTTGCATCTAGAACCATGTTTTTGTGTTTGTTCTCACAAGACCTTTGAATATGGGTGCTCAGGTCCATGCTTTCGAACTCATAGCACGAAATCTCAGACTTTGTAATAACAAGTTATGATTTTAGCATGCATGTTCTTCATCTTCCCCATCTTCATGTTCTTCATATTCCTCAAAGGGAAACCCAGATTTTCCCGACTTCGCTTTTGAATGTGGCCGTCGGAACCACACCTCGGCGAGAAGGTATGGGACCTCGGCCAAGACCTGGTTGATGCCTAACATATTTCCCCGAAATGAAAAACAGTGTTTTGTTTTGATTTAACTTAGTTTTTGATGAACACCGAGATCATCCGTTTGCATGAGAATCTTGTTTGAAAGTACGTTCAATAGACTTTGCTATGTGTTTGTAGGACTCGGACTTTTGCCTTGACCCCGACGTTTGAAGAACTATGTGAGTGGTATTTTTAATAAAGTTATGTTATTAAGTTTTGATAAAGTTTTGCCTTGCTCGTTTTGGAAAAGTATTTGTTAAGCATGAATGATTGTCCCTATTTTGTATATCAAGCACTATCTTGTTTTGATGACATTCTCAGAAAGTCCTTAGTGCCAGGGGACTATAATGCAACTGCACATCTTGTTTTGAAAGTCCCTCGTGCTGGAGGACTCTAAACTTTCGCAGTACTCTCGTGTTAGGGGGCTACGGGCCTTTGTAACATAGGTCCTTTGTGGTAGAGGACTCTAAACTTTTGTAACACCCTTGTTGAGATATCTTCCTTGCTTTGTCTTGTTTTGCCACTGACGGTTTATCGCGTGGGTTGTTTGTCCGGAATGTTATCATTTGTAATATGTTGATGCTAGTAAGCATCCCTTGAAGCTTTAAAGATTTGCTAGATGGACGAGGTCCATCCCTTGTTATATAAAGTTTTGATATGTATCGTTTTGAAAAGACTTCGGCTATTTTCATGCAAACCCCTTTATTACTTGTACCATTCACTGAGTATCCAAGCTCACCCTCTCTATATATATGTAGGTGATGAGCAAGAAAGCGGTGGCGCCTAGATGTGATTCGCGAGCTTGTTTTGGATTTTTGGTTATGTCGGCTTGACTTGGCAGTCTTGAAAATTATGCTTCTCGACTTGTAATACTTGTAATTTGCACACGTCGGCTTGAGAAGCCTTTCGATCAAGATGTATTAAGTACTTTACTTCATTTGTACTGAGTTGTAACCCATGTGAAGATGTTTGCCATTTCATTTGACTTACGCACAGCTCTCATGGACTAATCTGATTTGTATGTATTGCTTCCGTACTTGTGAGCCCCGTATATTTATACTCTGTTGTGTGTGGATTTTGAAAATTGGCCTTCGGTAATCTCAGATTACTGGCCATCACAGCACCATCCTACTAGGGGCAGTTTGGGGTCGTGACATTAAGTGAATTTAAATAAAATTGAAATGAATTTATAATTTTTGAGTTGAGTCTATCACATTTAATAATTGGTCAGGTTATTGCCATGCCGAAGGGCAAGAAGTTTCACATGGTGATTCCATGAAGTTTCTTGTCCAACTAATCCACATATTAATAACTTAAAATTTAACATTGCTTCCTATTCAATTGATTCAAATAAAAATGAAAACTTCTAGCTATATAGAATTAGTTATAGAATCAAATACAATATTATGGGGAAAAAAAATTAGTTTAAATTTTATTCACATTATTTTTACATTTTTCCTTCTCTTTTTCAAATTCTTATCCAAATTTATAATTTAAACCCAAAATATATAAATATCACCTAATGTAAAAGAGTTGTGTCCAATCCTATAATCATGTAACAAAGTTTAAAAAAAACATATACAATTCAACAACTTTATTGAATGTTGTATTGGTTGCATAGATAAGAGGTGCCAAGTGTAATTTTTTTTTTTCTTCTAATACGTTGTCAACTGCAATTTGGAAGAGAATGAATTGAACACTTAACTCGAGTGCAATTTTAAGCCTTATAAAAAGAAGATTTGACATTGGTTTTCTATATATATATTTAGAGAAAATTGGTGAAAGTCCATCCAAAGGGGTATAAATCATTAAATTCAAAGTCAAATCTTCATCATTATCATCATCATCATTTCAATTCCATAAAACCCAACATCATTTTCATTTCCTCTTTACTAAATCAAAATCTTTACATTTTGGGGCAAAATCCCCTTTATTTATAAATCAA